TTGACTTAAGGACAGACCTTGGGAATGGAACTCATTCTTAAACTGGGGACTACCTGTATTCTACTACTTATATTTATAGTGTTTTTCAGTTTGAACCATGCTTATGTGTCTAAATTTAACCGCTGTAAGTTGATCCATGACCATAATAAAGATATTACTATTACAAGTTTGAGCAAATACTCTGTGTTGGCCTTGCCTTGTGCAGTTGTTCCAGAAAACATCTACTGAGCCGATATCAAAGTTTAGATAAAGTTTGACAGAGTTCATGTTAATGCAAGAAAATTGTACCCTCACCTGTGTTACTCAGTGTACAATGGCAATTCTACTTTTGTATATTACATCTTTGTTACCTAAACATATTTATAGTTTTGTAAAATAACTGTGACTTCATTTTAGGTATCAGTCAAACAAAATCACTGTTTTCTGTTCCTCTGGATCTGGTGGATACACTAAAATGTTTCAGAGAAAGTCTGGAAAAATCAAAGCACCACAGTAGAGCCCTTAAATACAGCAGGAAATTGCTTTCTTTATTTCTTGCTCACATGCAAGGTGAGTACCTCATTAGCAATAGGATGTGTGTATAATTGTAAATTGACTTTAAAAAGTCAAATATTGAAAAAATGATTGAAATGTATGTAATTCAAATTGAACATTTGAATTGTGTGGTTTATTCTATTTATATTTATTCTGTTTATAACAGTTCACACATCTATGTAATTATTAGAAATGTAATAAAGCATTAGCTACATATGATTGTATGTATGTATGATCACTGATAAATGAGTTTTCACATTCTTATAGATAAGCAAACTAAAGTATTTCTAACAATCAGGATTTAATACATATACGTATATATATTAAGAACATCCTATTTACTGCATGTTTATAGAAATTACATTGGCGCTATTTGAAATTAAGAATCCCAAAGAAATCAAGTTTGTTTTCACATCCTGACCTTTAAAAAGAGTATGCAAATAAATGTATAAAACGAGAAACATAATTTCAGAAAACTTAATTAAAGTTTTCTTAATTAAACTGAATTAGCAGTTTCCTCCAAAAACCAATTTTCAAGGTATTGGCTGAAATATATAGGAACAAAGCAATTTAGAAAGAAGTAAATTGGTTTATACTTAAACTGATGTTCCTAAAAGATATAACCAAATGCATCCCATCGGTACATCCCATGGCACAGCTCTTACATAGTTACAGCTCTCAGATTCCTTTACAGAAAGACTTGGAGGTCTATAATTCCTCAAGTATTGTTTTAGGAAAATATTAGGTTCCTTCAAATTTTGACATTTTAAAAAGGGAAATTTGTGGTAATTTTATTACTTGAAAAATTTAATGAAAATTTCAAAGAAATTGTTTGAAATTTTCATTCCATTTTACATGTAATAAACTCTTCTAACATTGCCAAATTTCTTATGAAATAGTTTTTTTTTTTCTTTAAAGAAAGAGCAGTCTTTTGATTGGGTTTCTAGAAAAGGACCTGCATGTTTTCTTGGTTTCTGAACCTGATATAAAATATAAAGGTGCCCTATTTAAAAATTATACATCGATTGAATGGATTTAGTTTAAAATATTTTCAAATATATTTGGGGCAGTTGTATAAAATAATATACATTATAGAGATGTCTATAGGCAAAAGCCCTTAGCATTTCAGAGAGATAGTATAGGAGTACCTAATAACCATGAATAAAACTCAGTGAAGGCTTTTTTATGTTCTTTCCAACTGGAAGCCAATAAAGATCCTAAAGGACTACATATGTTCATAATGCCCAGTTCCTATCAGTACTCTTGCATCAAAAGTCAAGTCTCTTTATTTCCCTTATTGACCAGGAAAACAAAGCTTTGACAAATAGGGTTACAGCTGTCCTGTTGAAATAGTGTAACCTATGTACTATACAAATTGACTAAAAATTTTTTAATAACTTTATTAGAATTTTAAAAGAAAAGTTAAAAACTAACAAGAACTAATATTTATAAAGAAAGAAAAAAAGGAAAGAATAAGAAATGAACAAAGACAAAAGTGCAGAAATCAAAGAAAAGAAAAAATATAAAGAAGTGTCTTCTGATTTACTTTTACAGCAGTTATAAGTATAAATGTAAATTGACCTCTTACTCTATGGTTACAACATTGTTTACATTTTTTCTATAATCTATTTTTTGTCTAATCATCAAAACCATATATCATAATTTCATTTTTTTCTGTTTTCCGCAAAAAATCAGGGGTTTCCAATCAGTGTTAAACTTAGACATTGTCCTGTCTCTAAAGCTGTCAATTTGGCTATCTCAGCAAGTTGAGCAATTGATCAAACATACTCTGAGATAAGTCAGCTGGAATTGCCTTCTCTGCTTTCTCTGGCTGCTGTTCCAGGGCGCCCCTCCTTCCCTCCAATTCTGTAGCTTTCCAAGTTGTCATTTTATAATCCAAAAAAAGGCTCACTCAGGAAGAAAATAAAAGACAACTTCCCTCCCTTTTTCCCCCTCTCTCAAATTGTGCCTTTGATGCTGTAATTTGAGACTAAATTGTCAATATGCTCTACATTTCCATGGTTACAAATAAGCAGTCAGTTACTGTTATCTCTTGTTATGCAAATTCAACCAATTGGCTGCAGTCTTTTAGATGGAAACAAATGACTTTCCCACGGGATGTCTGATTCAGTTGTTTAATTCAATTACAGCTTTTGCAATACACTTTCATAAAAAAGTTAATCTTTAAAAAAACAACTCTTCCCTTTATCCATTTTGAACTTTCTTAATTTACCCTTGTTAAGTTCTTTGCCAAATATATTTTTAAAATGTAAATCTTTAAATCTTTTATTTTTATAATAATAATAAAAAAAAGAGACTCACCAAGAGGAACACTTGTCTGCTGTAAAAAAAACAAACAAACCTTAGGCTAAAAAGTACTTATTTCTAAATGTGGCTAAGAAATGGGGCAGCAGGTCGTATTTTCCTTACAGACTACACTGTAACTGAGAATGTGAATGGGGTCCCGTGCCTCCCAGCCACTCAACTTGCAAGTGTACCACAGAAACTTCCATCTGTACAATTTACCTGTGGGGAGCAGCCATCTGGAGATTGAACAGATTGATTTCATGTTCTTTCCTTCATCCAGAAAGATTCTGGTGTCCAGTGTTGGCCCTCTGGGTGCCAATTCTCTGCTATGATGCCGTCTCCACTTTCCTGAAGATGACTAGACTGCCATTAATTCCTTGCCAGAAGTCAAAAATTAATTAAAATGTTTCCATCGGTAGCACACACTATAAAATCATGATATCAATACAACTAATATTATAAGTTTAAGATTTTAAACACAGGAGTGAATATAATTAAAACTTAAAGTTTTGGTAAAATTATAGAGTGATGACTTAGAGTAATAAAAATAGCTTGCATGAAATATAAAATCATTGTATCGCTGAAAGATAGAAATAATATGTATATTTATGCCTAAAGGGAGTATAATAATGTAGTATAGAGTGGAATATAAACGAGTAATTATGATTTAAAAGGTAAAGAGTTAAAAAGACCAATTACAATAGCTGGTTATCTGCATTATTAAATGTAGCTCTAGCAATAATAATAAAAATAAGAAGAATAAATGTACCTATAAGCATGATGCATAGATATAGATAATGGACTAAATAGACAGCTGCAGATAAAATAGGTTTTTTATTTATTTATATATATATATATAAATGATTTTTATTGAAAGAAAATTTTATATGAGATTTAAAAACTACAGAAATATAAAAAAAGAAAAGAAAAAAGGAATATGAAAGAGTAAAAGAAAAAGTGAAAGATAACAAAGAGAAAGAAAGAGAAAAAGATATATAAAGAAGCGACTTCCGATCTTCTTTGCAGCAGATATAAACATAATTTTTACCATTTCTACCCTCCCAAGTGACATGTCATGGTTCCCTTCTTCCCATAAACAAATCTTTTTAATCAATAAATCTCAAAATCGTCAATTCACTTTTATCCATAAAAAGTCCATAAAGGGTTTTCAATAAACAATAAAAGTAATTGTTGTTTGCTGCTTAATCAAACAAGTCAATTTAGCTATTTCTGCAAGCTCTGCCATCTTCATGATCCATTCCTCCATTATATTTCTGTATTCTTCTATCTTTGTGCATATAATAGCCTTGCTGCAGTTACTATGTATATAACCAATTGTCTATGAGCCTTTTCTAGTTGACTGTCCATAAGTCCTAATAAGAAAAATTCTGGTTTCATCTGCATATTAATTTTTAAAACTCTCTGCATCACCATATGTATTTGGTGTCCAATATCTTTTTGCTTTTTCACAAGTCCATCATGCATGATAAAATGTCCCTTCATGTTGTTCACATTTCCAACAGTAATTAGAAGTACATTTATACATCTTAGACAATTTCTCTGGTGTCATTTACCAACGTACATCATTTTATAAAAGTTCTCTTTTAAATTGTAAGATAAAGTGAATTTCAAATCTTTTAACAACATAATCTTCTATTGATCCATTTGAATATTATAATCAAAGTTTATAACCATTTTACCATATTTTCTGTAACTTGGTTTTCTTCCGTTTCAAATCTCAGCAAAGTTTATATTGAAAAAACAAAAATGAATTATGTAAAAATAATGAACACATTATTGCTAAAATGCAATAACATGTTCATTATTTTTACATAATTCATTTTAAAATTTTGTTCTATCATATTCTATTCCTGGTACTTTTTATCTACCTTAAATCTTTCTCTTATCTGTACATATGAAAACTATTGAAAACTAAATTCCTCTGGGATTTCCGGGGGAGAAACGGATTGAATACGGCTTTGTTGTTGTGGAGCTAACACCTGCGGTAACTAGAGGAGTTGGCAACCAGATCGGCTGTTTGGAATCATCTCCAGATGAAGGAGATGACAGGATTACCCACAGGCACTCCTTACAGATGCTCCCTATGTAGAGATTGCAGTCTAGTGATCTCCAGCAGGTGGAACGCTCTGGGAGTCGAGGGAAACATTGAGCCGAAACTGCAATGTGGAGCTTCCAAAGGATGCTAGATTTGCCTTCACTTCCTCTTTTAATTAACATTGGAAACTGCCTATTTGTGATTTACTTAGAAATTAAAAACCTCCTGAAAAGCAAGTTGCTGTACATTGAGAATTTCCTTCTATCCTGGGAGAAAGAAGATTAAAGTAAGTTTAAAGATCAAAAAGAAATATTTTAACTTTTGGAAACAGCGAAAGGAAATTAAGAATGCTGATTGGGGACAGTTAAGAGGTAGATGGACTTGAAATAGCTTTTTAAAGGATTATTTTAAATGCTTAAGAAAATACAGTAAGTGAGTTTGGATTTAGCTGTAAGAAAATCTGTCCTGGGAAAGTTTTGCTTCTGAAAATAAACACTAGATAAGATTGAACTTTGAAAGTTAACCAGAGGAACCAAAGAACAATTAAAATATATCTTTTAACACAATGGCGGAATATCCTTCTTTCAAAGAAGAATTTTTAGCTGTTTGGAATCAGTGTGTCTGGGAACTATTTCTAAAATTGGGACTAACA